TTTTTTTTTTTCACTTCTGAACTTGTAGTTAATGACAACCCTTTAGTTGTTGAATTTTGTAATACATTATTAAGCATGACTATAGAATAGTTAAAACGTCAGGTAAAAACTGTGTTCTCAAAGCATAAAAAGAACCTGACAGTAATCACAAAATAGCCACTTTATGTTTAATGCAGTTGGAAGTTGGTGAACATTTTGAACAATTACGTTTTTTTTTTCAAACGTCAAAAGGAATGAAATCAATAACTCGAAAATATAGAATTTTGATAACCAATGGGTTACATACTAGCCATTAAATCGTACACAACTTCAAGGACTGACTGGGGAGACTAGAACAACTAACGCTTCTCAACTGCCAAAAGGCCATAATACCAGCTACACTGAAAAACCAAATACAATGAAATTTACAAATCGAAGAATAAATGTCCAAAGCAACTACATTCATTAAGAAACTAAAGGAAGCCCTTGTATTTATGTCTTGTGCAGTTGCTTTGTCTCCAAGTTTGTAGGTGAAATAACTCCAACCCTGCAGTTTTTTGCTTGCTCTAGCCTTTTCCTTGTTGCCAACAGAACGTATTTCCTTCACTCTAAGAACCTTCTATCTTGCTATCTGCATATTGTTTTTCATGACAATCCTTGTCAAGCATCTCTCTTCAGAAATGGCATAAGAAGCATTGACAACAATGGAATGCTATCCTACTCCCTTAATTATTTCCTCAGCCTGCAGTACAGTCCTCATCACCACATTACTGCTTTTCTAATCCAGAAAAGGGATGTGCACAGTCAAAAGGACCGTTTTCTGGTCCAAGAGAGGTCTCCTCATGAACTCATCAATCTTAATTTTATCATGTTTATGAGCTGTCAGCAGGCTTACACTAGACACCACAAGAATAACATACAAGCAATAATAAAGAGTCCAACAATGTCTACAGTATAAGATAATTGAACACTAAGCAATCATAAAGATAACTATAGTGTAATCTTCTATGTGACTACTAACACACCACATTACTTACAATATAAGATAATTGGACATTTAGCGTGCAACCAATCATAAAGAGTGCAACAATGTGAAAACATTTATTTCAGTCAACTATGAAACTGAATAAATACATTCTAAAATCTCATATAGAAGTTTGCTTTACAGTATACTCCAACAGTTCAAGTTGAAGCCTTCGAGCTTATGTCACATTGGAGGCCTCGGCCAAATCAATTGAGTACTCTTGCCAAGTACTCCATGCATTTGTATAATGTACGTAAACATGTTGAAGTCATGGACTCATATACAAATGGATTGAGTATCCCTTTTAAGTACTTTGTGCATTTGTGTAACGCACGTAAACACATTGAAAGTCATGGACTCATACGAAGATGATGAGGATTCACATTGCTTAAGTTGCAATTATGAGGTAACTATATGTGGCATGTTATACCAGTGAGCATGTTCTTGGTATGAATGTTTAATGCTTAAGAACTTGGTATGAATGCTTAATGCTTCTCTTTTTGAACCGAAGTTGAAAATGTTGAAGTCTGGCTCAAATGTTCTTACAAATTCGTTAACGCAATTAAAATTGAAATATCTACTTTTGAAAATCAGGGCGTTACATTTACATCGTTGTTTGCAAGAAATGAAAAACAGGGACAATATTGTAAAGAACTAGGTTTTACACCTAAAAAATTCGAACCAGACGTTCCTACTCGTTGGAACTAAACTTATAAAATGTTACTGAAAACATATGCATTCTTTTATCAATTAGAGAAACTTTTTCGTTGTTCTCATCGTAAGGATGATTGTGATGTCACCGTTACTGTCGGTGATTGCGTAAATTGTAACACACTCATTAAATTTTTAGAAAAATTTCAAGATGCTACTAACTTATTTTCTTGTGTTACTATCCTAATGCTCAACTTGTTGTAAATCAGTGTGTAGTCGTAATGTGAGGTTTTTAATATATTTCTACTAGTGATCCTGACTTACATTACAAACTTGTAAGAGATATGTTAAGAAAATAAATAAATATTAGTCTTTTATACATTTTTAATTGCAGCTTTGATAGATCCGTTATTACGTGAAAAATGGTTGATTAATCAACTTCAGACATATTATGATATTATGTATCACCTCTCACTTCCCATTGATGTCCCGACTATCAGTATAAGACCTACTCTACGACAGCTCATCGAGCAAGTAAAACTTTTTATTGTACGAATGGTTTAAGAAAATCGCAATCAGACTCGGGATGAATTCAACGTCGTTTTCTTCAACCGCTTCCGGGTCTTCTTCTTATGGATGATGAGGACAAACAACGCTACAAGCCCAAAACATTGATGACTGATGGGATGACTTTAATCCCTACAAAAATGCTAAGATTTAAAAGGCAAAAGGGACTAGATACAGTGAGCTTGATCACTACCTTACGATGAATTTCATATTTCCAATTTTTCGTGATCCAGTTTCGCAACCAAAATTCGACGTCTTGGATTGGTGATCAAAGATGACTACCATTTATCCAATTCCACGCTCGATGGCGAAGGAGATTTTCATTGTCCTAGCCCAACAGTGATGGTTGAACAAGAATTATGCAAGGGAGAATATACAGTGGCCGCACGACATTCGAGGATGATGCCAGAAAACCTGGAGGCTCAAATGGTGCTAAGGTCTGCAAAAAGGCCGAGATGAGGGCACAAAAGACCATGCTAACTGTCGAAGATGTGAAGATAATGAGACATTGATATATAAGTGTATAAGAACTGCTATAATTTTGAATGAACATTATTATAGACAAATTTTTCACTAATTCTCGTTGATTTAGACATCTCCAATTGAAAAATCTCCATTTTGTAGTAATTGTCACATCAACTTTACAACTTTTCACTACTTACATATAACAATTTTAAAAATTAGACCTTTAATTATTTTTATGTTTGATTAAAAAATCAATTAATTTATAAATTAATAATAATTAACAAAAATATTGAATACATATTTTTCCAATAAGTAAAAAAATACTTTATTCTTTATTTTAAATTTGAAATATATTTTAAAAAAGTTATATTATTTGAATTTATTATCAATATCTTTTTAATCTCGTCACAAATTTTTTCAAACTTTTTTAAAAATCTCCTAGAAATATTTTACAAATACTTTTTTAATTTTTTAATTGAAATGAATATACTAGAAATATTTTACAAATACTTTCCTAATGTTATGATTAAACCTAGTATAAATGTTCACACTCTATATAAATGTCTAATTGTGTATATTTCATAAATTTTAATATTATTTTAATTGTGCCAAGTAATATGAAAACACATATAGATATAAATTAGAGAAACAAATATATCTTGTAAAATATAATGGTTCTATATTAATGAAAAAATGAAGAGGAAACTTATTGTGGTTTTATTAATTAGACTTAATTTGTTGCTTACTCAAGTATTATATATTAATAATATGAATATATAATTTATTTTTGAAATAATAATTTAATAGATTAATCATTGTTCCTTCACATCTGCATTACTCGCGTATAGTTCATACCTCGACTGCACCACTTAAACCCTCTCCATACCTATTTTCTCTGGCAATCGTCGCCATTACTGATTTTGCATTTCAATAACTTTGCGGGCCTCGATGCTACAAAGCGCCAAGATAAAAGCAAGTTGCACCATTGGAGGTCTCCGTCAGCTGGCCCATGCCGTGGCTCGACTGCTGCCGCTCTCGACCGCCATCGACCCTCAGATCAATACCTCACTACTGCCGTTGATTTTCTCGAAAGATTATGTCGACAAAGACGTGAGAGATGAGTTACCTTGTTTCCCATTTCCTTGTGGTGCCATGGAACTCATGGTTGTCCCCATAAAAAAGGCGAGCTTTTATTTTTTTAATTATTTGACAATTTGTTTCGAAGATTTTAGCTGATTGCTATCTTGCTGCTTCTAGTGCACTGTTTTGTCAATTCTTATTATTATTTTATTTTTATTTTTTTGTGTTTCTATTCTATTTTGTTGTCTTTCGTTTTTCATCGGGACTGTTCTTAGGGCTCATCTAGGGATTTGGGGATTAGGGTGAAAGGGCTTAGATAAGAAGGATATAATAGATAATTGGTATCATCGAATTTTGTTGTGGTTGTCTAATTGTATGGATTTACAATCGGTTTAAATATCTTTGAGTGGGGTTAGGCAAAATAAAGTTGTTGAAATGATACCATTGATTTTCATTTGTTTCTTTTTGTTTATTTAATCTGCTAACCTATATATTCTTGTAAAATATGTTTGTTGGTTTAGACAAATAAGCTTGTTGGTTCTCTTCCCCTTTTCAAGTTAGGGAACTTCTATGTTTGTAATCTGTTCTGGATCCGATTTTTTGACTTCTTCGAGTTTGTATAATGAATTATTTATTACTTATTTAGAAATTCCCGTTTGAAAATTTTCATTCTTTAAGTCATATCTCGATGGCCCGTCGAGCTGGTTGGGATGAACCAATTCCAACATATATCATTTCCACCTACCAAGCCTTTTGGAAATTGAAGTTCAGATATTGCTACATTTGTTTTTTCTTTTAACATTTATAAATTGGTTTAGCTGATGTGCTGTATGTTTTTTTTTATGGGTCAAATGATTGTTAGTTACTTAAAGGAGATGTTTCCTGCAGGTTAGTAAACACAAGAAAGGTATTAGAAATGGACCAAAGGCTTTGAAACTTGTCCCAGTAATCATCTGTTGCACGTAAGTCTTTATTTCTTCTGAAAGTTTGAAGCTCAATATATATATTTCAATATATATATTGTTTATTGACCATTGTTAAATTAACCATTTGAACAATCCAATTATTAAAAAAATGATTTATGAGGAAAGAAATATGCATTTTAAAGTATGGGTTTCTTCATCATTGAAGAACATGAAACTTATGACGCGACTCAACAAAGCCTTTTATGATTCTGAATGGTGTAACTGACTCGATTCTGGTTTAAGAACTATGGGTTAATCATTTACTTATATTCTCTATTTTTAGGTGAAGTAGTGAGGAATCATGTGTGTATTTTGGATTTTAAATTGTCTTAAAATGCATGTATCAACTCAGTTCCTGGTTTGAAAGCATGAGAGTATGTTGTTATTCTCGGGGAAGGGAAAAAATATAATTAAATAAAAATGGTTTCATCCTCTATAATTCAAGTTAGTGATTTGTCTCTTATGCTATAGTAAACTGTTTACACACCCCGCCTTTTTGCTATCTTGTTAGGGTTTGTGGTCGGGTCAAGCTGCCGCACTTCTTCTGTTGCAGTGGGATCAAACAAAATCCTAATGGTAGTAATAATCACTTATTTTCTTGTGCCCCATCAGTTTTAGTTATGAAGCTAAGCAGATGTATTCGGCATGTCTTATCTTTTGAGTTGTTCTTTTTAATCCTTTTAAGGGATACAATTCCTCAAGCTATAAAGTTTCCCTGTTGAATATTGTTGTTTGGTATTTGAATGTTGTTTTTCAAGTTCTGTTTAAGTTTTTTTCTGAACTTGTAGTTAATGACAACCCTTTAGTTGTTGAATTTTGTAATACTAATTAAGCATGACTATAGAATAGTTAAAACGTCTGGTAAAAACTGTGTTCTCAAAGCATAAAAGGAACCTGGCAGTAATCCCAAAATTGCCACTTTATGCTTAATGCAGTTGGAAGTTGGTGAACATTTTGAACAATTACGTTTTTTTTTTCAAACATCAAATGGAATGACATCAAGAACTTGAAAATATAGAATTCTGATAACCAACGGGTTACATACTAGCCATTAAATCATACACAACTTCAAGGACTGACTGGGGAGACTAGAACAATTAATGCCCCTCAACTGCCAAAAGGCCATAATACCAACTACACTGAAAACCAAATAAAATGAAATTTACAAATCGAAGAATAAATGTCCAAAGCAACTACATTCGTTAAGAAACTAAAGGAAGCCCTTGTATTTTGGTCTTGTGCAGTTGCTTTGTCTCCATGTTTGTAGGTAAAAGAACTCCAACCCTGCAATTTTTTGCTTGATCTAACCCTTTTCTTGTTGCCAATAGAACATATTTCCTTCACTCTGAGAACCCTCCATCTTGCCACTTGCATATTGTTTTCCATGGCAATCCTGGTCAAACACCTCCCTTCAGAAATGGCATAAGTAGCATTGACAACAATGGAATGTTGTCCTACTCCCTTAATTTTTTCCTCAGCCTGTAGCACAGTCCTCTTCACCATATTACTGCTTTTCTAATCCAGAAAAATGATGTACACAGTCAAAAGGACCATTTTTTGGTCCAAGGGAGGTCTTCTCATGAACTCCTCAATCTTAATTTTATCATGTTTACGTGCTGTCAGCAGGCTTATACTAGAACCCACCACAAGAATAACATACAAGCAATAATAAAGAGTCCAACAATGTCTACAATATAAGATAATTTGACATTAAACAATCATAAAGATAACTGTAGTGTAATCTTCTGTGTGACTACTAACACACCACATTACTTAAAATATAAGATAATTGGACATTTAGCGTACAAGCAATCATAAAGAGTGAACCAATGTGAAAACATTTATTTCAATAAACTATGAAATTGAATAAATACATTCTAAAATCTCATATAGAAGTTTTCTTTACAGTATACTCCAACAGTTCAAGTTGAAGCCTTCGAGCTTATGTCATATTGGAGGCCTCGGCCAACTCGATTGAGTACTCGTGCCAAGTACTCCATGCATTTGTATAATGTACGTAAACATGTTGAAAGTCATGGACTCATATACAAATGGGTTGAGTATCCCTTTTAAGTACTTTGTGCATTTGTATAACGTACGTAAACACATTGAAAGTCATGGACTCATACGAAGATGATGAGAATTCACATTGCTAAGTTGCAATTATGTGGTAAATTCCAGAGTGAGCATTTTCTTGGTATGAATGCTTAATGCTTAAGAACTTGGTATGAATGCTTAATGCTTCTCTTTTTGAACCGAAGTTGATAATGTTGAAGTCTGGCTCAAATGTTCTTACAAATTCGTTAATGCCTTTAAAATTGAAATATCTACTTTTGAAAATCAGGGTGTTACATTTACATCGTTGTCCGCAAGAAATGAAAAGCGGGGACAATATTGTAGAGAACTAGGTTATACACCTAAAAAATTCAAACCAGACATTCCTACTCGTTGGAACTCAACTCATAAAATGTTACTGAAAACATATGCATTCTTTTTGTCAATTAGAGAATTTTTTTCGTTGTTCTCATCGTAAGGATGATTGTGATGTCACCGTTACTGTCGGTGATTGCGTAAATTGTAACACACTCGTGAAAATTTTTAGAAAAAATTATTGATGCTACTAACTTATTTTCTTGTGTTTTTACTATCCTAATGCTCAACTTGTTGTAAATCAATGTGTAGCCGTAATGTGAGGTTTTTGATATATTTTTACTTATGAACCTGACTTACATGAAAAAACTTGTAAGAGATATGTTAAGAAAATAAATAAATATTACTCTTTTATACATTTTTAGTTGCAGCTTTGATAGATCCGTTATTACGTGAAAAATGGTTGATCAATCAACTTCAGACATATTATGATATTATGTATCAACTCTCATTTCCCACTGATGTCCCGGCTATCAGTGTAAGACCTAACCTATGACAGCTCATCGAGCAAGTAAAACCTTTTATTGTACGAATGGTTTAAGAAAACCGCAATCAGACTCGGGAAGAATTCAACGTCATTTTCTTCAACTGCTACCGGGTCTTCTTCTTATGGATGATGAGGACAAACGACGCAACAAGCCCAAAACATTGATGACTGATGGGATGACTTTAATGTTAGAGTAGTATACCCGGCGTTCCAATCAGATTGGACGTATTCTACTTGAAA